TTAAGCCTTGTGTCTACATCTTCTTTAGTGCTATTATCTATCTATGTTCTTCCTCTATCTTGGCAATGCCTTTTTAATATCTTCTGAGACTGCCCCCTACCCCATTTGCCTATCCTACAAGCATTTGTGGAGAAAACATTGCTCCTGGGCCAAACCACATGTGACTTCTTAATCTTTTTTTTTTTTTTTTTTTTGCCCTTGAACAGGAACTTTTTGCAAATTATTAGGGCAGAGCTCTCTGTCTGATTACTATCTGGTTCTGGAGACTCTGCTGCAAAATGCCATTCCAAAAAAGGTCCCCACTGAAGCAGTTTTTTAAAAACTGTGCTCAAGGCCAGAACCACACAATTAAACATGTATATGGTTGGAATATATTCACATGTACACAAACTTGAAGGACACTAATTCAGCACCGGCTTTGGAAAAGAAATATAGCAGGACATTTGCCATATATAATACTTTTAAAACAACACATGAGAAAACTTATTTAGAACAGGTGCAGCTCTTTTTTAGCTTGCTAAATGAAACTGGAAAAACACAAAGGCAAATGATGTCATGAGAATTTCCGCTGGACAAAATTCAATTCACTCAATATCTTTGTGGTGCAGTGTGATTGGGACTGTTTCAGATTTGAATTTCTAAAATGTTAAGAACTTTACATGTGACGGAAAGTTAAGGAGGGGGAAAGCAGCAATATGTGTTAAGACCAAGTCTTTGCATAAAACATGTTACACTTCAAATGAATTCTTATAATGAATTCCTGTTCCCAGTAAATAACGACAGTAGACAACAGTAGATTTGTTTTTGTGAGAAACAACCTATTTCCTGACGCTTTTAGTTACTTTATAGTTGTGGAAGAAAAATATTGCATGGCTCAAGTGCTGGCTCATGTAGCTCTGTTGTGGATACTGAGGAGATGAGGTGGATGGAAGAAGATGTGTTTTTTTATCACAGGCCAGTGGCTTGCAGCATTTTCTTCAAGTGATTTTTTAAAAAAAATTCATCTTGAGAAATGGAAAAGCGACAAGTTATGTCTGAAATTTTATAAAGGGAGTGGGCGCTACATTTTTCAGCCAGTGAAACATTACACATGGAGCTGTCTTTCTTTTTTTCTCAACTTAGTAGCACTAATAGTAACCAACCACTCTTTTGGCATTGGAATTATAATGTTCACAGGCCAATTTTTAAAGTGAATGCACAAGGTATGGAAAAAAAGAATTGCGTTTATAAGAGACAGATTGGATTGCACTGGCATATTATGTAATTCTCTGTGTCTAACTGAACCTGATAAATATTGTATTTCTCCAACAGTATTACTTCATCTATGTACTCTTTAATGTCTTTTCTATCACTATAGAATGCTAGAGGAAGCCACACATTTTCCATGCAAGAAAAGAACTTCCTTCATGTATTCTATGGTCATATTTATCTTCTTGCATCTATGTGTTAATAGCTGGGAAGATCTTATCATTCCTGCCTCTCAAGAAAACTGCACAAAACTGCTGAGGTCCACATTGCAAATTTCAACACATTTTAGAACAATTGCAGAATTTATTTCTTCTATGGAAAATGTGCACATTTGACTTTCGAATATAATTATAGGGCTGTGTTGTTTTTTAAATCATCTATCCATTATACTTTGTGGTTACACTAACTGTTTCATATTACACCCTGGACTGCACATTATGGTCTGGTGAGTATGAAGATTGGAAACACTCCTTCCATCTATATCAATTTGCCCAAGCTCCTGGCTGAGCCACAGGCATCCTACTTTGCAGGCTAAACAAGTTTTTGGTTCTCTCAGGTGGATCAGTAAAAGAAACTGACCTTTTCACCAATGGTCCCTTTCTAAGGAATGTCCTCTTACAAGATTTACACTTGCCTCCTCTATCTGCTTCTGAACAGGTCTTAAAGTCTTTTGAACTGGCTGACAGTATAGATCCATACTTTCAACTAAGTTCTATGCATTATGTTAGAGGCTGCCATTTAATGTTCTAAATTGTTTTTATGCTTTTTGACTGAACTGCTTGGGATGGCCTTTGATACAAAAAGGCATTACAGAAATGAGACACACTTTATTTACAAAGGGTGGACTAGATCAGTAGTTAACAGCCTATTCTGCAGAAGTCAGTGCTTCCTCAGAAACATATCAGAGCCTCCCAACAAAAATATCACTAATATCAGGTAATGCTCCGTCATAAACAGCTTGACTACTGCCACTGCTGTTCCCTGCAATGTGCAGTTGCAGGAAAATGCTCAGCGTATTCTAGGTCATATGTTCAGTTCACATTTGACAGTGGTTCAGATTGCCAACAACTTCCATGGACTGAGCTTCTGCCCCTGTGTGTATGTGTGTGTGTTAGCACTCTTTGCAACAGGCAGAATTTGCAAGTTCTATGAAAACAGGTTTCCTATAAGTGATATAAATGAAAAGCCTGAAAACTACTGGAAGGTGTGGTTCAAATACAGTATATAAGATTTATTGATCATCATCTGATGCCTTTCACTGTGTGCATCCTCCTTTGGTGGCCAGACAGTTGCCAAAGAGGAAATGAGAGTTGTTTTCCCCATGTGGTGCACGAGTTAGAGAAAGTTGTGGCCAGACAGCCTTGCCTTAATAATGAAAACTGCAATGCCACCTTCTTGGACTTCAACTCCCAAAAGCCTTCACCACCACCTCTGCTGGCCAGGATTTCTGGGAGTTGAAGGCCAAGAACATCTGGAGGGCCACAGTTCGACACCACTGCCTTATATTAATGAAAACTGCAATGCAACAACTTCTGATGGCCAGAAATTGCCTGTCCCTTCTCTAAATGATCTTTGGTCCTTTAGGATTTTGCTTCCACACAGAATGTTATGAAATCCCATTCTCTGTGGCATTTTCTCAGTCTGTCAGATGACTAAACACAAGTGCCAGGGGCTTCTCAGTGGTGGTGCCACACTCTAAAATTCTGTCCTGAGAAAAATGCATCAGTCTCATTGTGGTGTTTTCCAGAAAGAATCAGGAAATGTTTTTATCTGTAATTGGATTCTGTATTTAGAGCTGGCTTTCTTATAATATTTGCATTTTGCAGTTTTTATAGAGTTTGTTTTTATTTGTATTTTATTTCTTTAGATTATTTGCAAGCTGTTTCCAGTTGGTTTATCAGCAGAAGAATAGGGAGAATATTTAATAAAAATGATAAACTAAATTCTCTAATGAGATCTGTAATCTAGAAGATGCAAATATATAGTTTTAAGCTTCCACCGAATACTTTAGACTTGTAGATTAAAAGATGAACTATGATAATATGAACATTTCAATAGTTTTTTAAAAAATAAGCACACTGGTAAATCACACTGGCCAGGATCCTGCTGTGGATTTCCACATGTGCACTTAGTGCTGTGCAAGCAGTCACACTGTTGCCAATGCCGTTATGCAGCTATCTGGGCAACTAGTGGCACAATTGTTTGTACAGCCACTGATACAGTAGAAACTATCAGGATCCTATTGTAAAAGGTCCAGAAAGCACAGTACTATATAAAATGACTTGTAAGTATTATTTTTTGAGATCAGCACGAGTGCATTGATAAGTTATCCACAGTGAGTTAAATTGGGTTTATTCCTAAATAAATGAGTACAGAGTTACCACCTGACAGTATTAACTCTCTGGTGATCTGCATAATACCCATAGGAAATGGCTTTAGATTTTTTCAGGCAAGGAAACTTTGGTAACATTTTTCCAGTTGTAGAAATACAGATAGGCCGAGGAATTCAGCATCACCCATTCAAGGTATAAACATTTATTCATACTGGATATGAACAAAGAATGTTCACGTTGAAAGAAAGGGAAGCAGATGAAATTAGAAGTGCTTATCAAAATTGTTTAAGCAGCCCTAAACTCCAGGGATGTTGCAGGATTAAAATAAACACACTTGGGCCAAGAACATGTTGAAATGTTAACAAATTCATTCCAGGAAACAACGTGCTGCCATTTTCATAAATAATTATATGTTTAATGTACATACTGCTCAGTTGCTTACATGGAGTGAAAACAACGTCAGGAGCTAGGAACAAAACAAATACATGCTGCTAATTTTAGAGCATTAGAAGGAGTCAAAGGGTGATGTTTACTGGGGTGGGAGAAATGAGCTTAGAAAGTGTGGAGGTGTGTGAAACAAACAATCATAAATTTGAAAAGTGTATGTATGCTAAATGCTATCACTAAATTAACTAGCAAATGAAGACAATGGGCCTTTAAAAGGGTAAAGGAAGAGAATGTGTATGAGATGCCAAAAGAACAGAAGTTGCAATTATCAGATAAAGACATAATTAGCTAAGCCTGAGTAAATAGCTATGCCTATATAGATATGAGTAATCCTTTAACAGAAAATTGTAGAACAAAACATGGACAACATGCATGAACTGTGTTCCATTTCTGCCAAATGGCACTCCTGTATATTTTGGTCAGTTTTACCACTTTATTTTCTACCAGTCTAATTTTGTTTGCAAATAATTGAACAAAAATTCCCTGGGCAACTGACTGTCAATGACAAGTCTATTTTTAAAATGAACCTTTGATTTGACACAAATATATAGAACTATGATCTTTTAATTCTATTACTTTCGAAGCAATAATACTTATTTTGTATAATACTTATTTTGGGAGCACAGTTGTGCTAAAAGCTAATGTATTATATATATAATATATATATGAAACAAAATGAAACTGAAGGTCATTTGCGGTGTTAGTATGTTAGTGTCAGACTAGACACTGGATTATATCTTACAGATATGACAGCAAATCAGGTATAATTATTTCTGGAAATACTCTGAATTCATATGGCATCACTATGCAAATACAGTTGAATATACTTTTTAAAGCTTTTCTGACACTTTTGGAATAAATGTAAGGACTCATCAATATACAATTGAAACTGTTAATTGCTTAGCAAAATACATGCAAACTAGTTTAGCAAACCAGACATCATAGCATACATAATAAGAAAGATCAGCTTACCCCTCTCTGTGAGCTTCTCCTTTTTCCAGTTCCTGAATAACGCCCAGCAAGACCTTTATGGTTTCCTGACTTGAGCTGATCAAATTCTCCATCATCTGTAGCTGTGCTTTCAAGTCTACTACTTCTGTGTGAGGCACAATTTGTTGACATCCTTCACTCACAGCAACTGCTGTCTGACAAGGCTGTTTTCCTTCCATAGGTGAAACATGTATCTGAAGGGTCTGTTCATTACATTCAGTTGATTGGCACTGTGCCTGCATTGAACAGGCCTGGGCTGCACTTACGGCTTGTGATTGTAGACCATTAAGATGCACTGTTCTTTTTTTGTCCTCCTCCGTTGGACACAGAGACCAGTCATTCCCTGCTCCTGCTGCAGAATTTTGCAGGTCAGTCTGAGAGAAGTGTGAACTGGATGCAGGCAAGTAGACAGAAGCTACTTCTGTCTTGAACACTTTTCCGTGAGTGGATGAATTAGCCTCCTCATTCCTCAGTGGCCCAGTGTAGTGTTTTGCTTTGTCATGCAGCTGGTAATCAGGCTCCTCTAAAACAAAAACTGCTGAGTTTTGAAGAGAAGGAGGTTCTTTAGTACAGCTGTGCAAATCAGTGCTTCTACACGTTTCTGAACAGTTGTCACTAGAAGGCTGCTCTATTGCATTCATGCGTTCATTAGTATGTGAAATAAACTCAGCTGTCACAAATCCAGTGACTTTCTTGCTATACTGAGCAGCCTCTCCTGAGATTCTGCTGTCTTTATCTTTAACATCCATCAAGAATCCATTGTTTTGACTTGGAAAGGTGTCAACAGAGGCTATGCTTTTGATCATACTTCCCTTCTTCCGGTCCAAAGGGAATGTCTGGTAACACTTTTTAAGTTCAGGTGAAGTCTGAACTCCTGTACTTTTAGTAACATTAGGGATTGATCTCCGGGCAGGCACTGTCATATATTTCCGGTAAGCTGCTCTGTAAGAGATAGGCTTTGCTTCCTTTTTGTCAGCCTGCTGTAATGTAGAGAGCTGTTTGTCCCTTTGCTCGTTCTGGGCCTCACAGATGTCTTTGAATCTTACCTGCAGGGCTTTGTTTCTTTTCTTGATCTGCCGGTTGGGATCCAGTGCATATTTCATCTCCAAGGCAAGTGATGTTGCTGAATCAACTTCACTCTCAGAGGTTGTAAGCAAGCACTTGCTGGATTCTTTACTCCCCATGGCTCCTGTGTTCAAAAACAGTGTTCAGGAATAATTTAATTATACTGACTATCTATAAATTTAATTCAAATAGGTGAAACTTTAAAAGAAGATAAAACTTTTAGGGACTTTTCCCCGCCAAAAACATAGGTGCGTAATTTCTCTTATGGGATTCCTCACATTATAATATCTAGTTTTTCTTCTGAGTACATACAAAACCAGTGTCATCTCATCGGTAGTGCTAGACTTGGATCTACAAAACCAGAATATTTCAGTTGTGTCCTCTGATTGTGGTTTTTTAAAATAATCTATATATCTTTGCATACATTATCTGAGTAACCCCTTACAATAGTTTGTAAGATGCGCCATTCTTCTCCTGTTGAGAATCAGCATAATATATTGTATGCAGTGGGTTGGATTTGGATGCGATTCAAAGCCCTGCTCAGGCTTGCTGGATGACACTTGTCTCTCAATCTAACATGTCTCACAAGTACATTGTGATTTTTTTTTAAAAGGGTGGGTGGAGACAAGGACAATATGCTGCCGTGAGCTCCTTGGAGGTATGGTTGGATAAACAAATCAGAAACCAACTTGTAACTAGACTGGAAATTAGTGGATGCTCAAATAGTAGTTCGTGTAGGGCCACTTAGTGAATTCACAATGGAAGAGACATTTAGAGAATCTACTCTGGACTACTCCAGTACATCACATCCAAAATGACTATCCCATGGATGCTTAATAAGCCAACAGCAGTCTTTGTGAAATGATGTGAATACAGAAAGGCTCCATGCCTGGTATGTAAATGAATTTATATGGATTGCTCACACATGTATTAGTGTAGCAGAAGTGCTTGGGCATGTGCTTTTAGTGCCGAATATGGAATGTGTTTTTCTTCTACATTTAGGGGATGATGATGACAGCTGCCCTTGGTAGCTGCCATATATAGTAAGTGACACAGTGCTTACAAAGAATGTTATACATCGTTTAATCTTTTTGAAGCTGTATTACTCAAAAAGTGGAGCACTTTTGTTTTACAGGGTGATTCCCACCGAAATATGTGAACACACTTAACTAACACTTTCTTGTAGATACTTTTAACATTCCATTTTGTTAAAAGGTTCTTATTAGACACAACATTCACTTGTCTATACTGGGTTTTTGATTATCTGAAGAAATGACAGAAAATGCATGAACACCATACTCTGTATTGAAGTGTTTTAGATTTAGAATGAACAGAGACGTATGTACAACTAGTAATTTTATATGGTCAATGGAGATAAGTGGGGTTTGTATGATGGAATCATATTCCAGGAACAATTTTAGGGGATATGTCACTCTGCTTGAGCAGTCATCTAGATTTTAAAAACCTTTTTGTTTCTTTGCAGAAAAGGAAAGCAAACCTAATGATTCTAAGGCTGTGCTTCTTGTTTAATGGCACTGGAGCAATATAAATTTCTTTAGTTTTAAATAACAAAGTATCAGTATTATAGTGGCCCTGGCTGCCAGGACCGCGGTATATAAATCAAATCAAATCAATCAATAAATCAATAAATGATGGAAAATGACCATGCTGTATTTGTAGTGAAACTAATTTTCATCTAACAGGCACATTTAAATAAGAAAATCTTAATTATAAGCAGCAAATCTAGAGCCTTATACTGATTATTTCATACTCATACTATGATCAATGATTAAGAGTATTTAAAAGGTGGCAGAGTTAATTTGATTGTTGAAATAAGAGGGAGGGGGCAGCTGGTTTCTGAGAAACTATATCAGGTTGTATGAAGAAAGAATTCATCCATATTTGATCCATTATTTATAGTAGTTGTGTGGGTGGTTCACTTGAAAATTACAAAAACCATAGTTTGGCTTTAAAAAGAACAGACAGTGGAACAACCTAACCAGGCCATTCAAAATCTTGGGAGGCAATAACTCCTACTGAAAGATTTGGAGAACTGAGTGAGGTAACATAAATAAAAGATGGAAAGTAGTGAAGCCCCTTATGTCTCTAAAGTTTCATAACCATTTCCATCTTTTGTTTGAGGCACACAGCAGCATAGGGAGGGTAAAGAAGGAAAAGTTCCTCTATTAATCAAACAAGAATACTGGATAGAAGAAATTATTTGGTGAGAAGGAGGAGCATATTCTTAAGGTCAATCTTACCTAAGCAATTAAGTGCTTGCTTATAACCTCTGGAACTTTAATGAGCAACTTTATTCTTGAAGATGGAATGGAGTATGCATTGAATCTCAACCAGCAGAGCAGGAGTATAAACTCAAAAGGCTTCACACAATTTATTCTGGCCGTAGGAAAGATGTTCAAGATCTTGAATCTCACCCTCACACACCTCTTTAATATATTTTCCTGCAAATTCTTTCTCACTGATTAGGCACAATATAACTGAAGTTGATCAAAGAAAACTCTACCTGGTCTCAGGCATTTGTTCTGTAAAATATGTGCTTCTGATAACCACCTGTTATGCTGAATGGGTGTTTTTCTTCTATGTAGCAATTTTTATCCTAAGATCTTAAAGTGCTTTGTCTGGAAAAAAAAAAAAACAAGAACCCACTCCATCCCTGGAAGACTTCTCAATACAGTTCCCATTTTATGCAAGCACTGAGGCAAGAGCACAAATAGATTATCTGGGTTATGGCAAACCAATACAATTGTCCACTAAAGACATGTGGAAGCTAACTGCCGTGAGCTAAGAAATCTCCCCTAATCTTATCTGTCACATACTGAGCTGTACAACTTGGCACAGTGAAATTTCTCCACTTGCAGCAGTTCACCTCTAAAATTAGCACAACTGTGCAACAGGATTTCAGCCTTTGTGAGGAAAAATAAATAAATTGTCATAAAATAACATATATACTTTAAAAATTGGAGGAGGATGTTGGTACAAGGGAACCCAATGATGCTTGCCTACTCTTGGTCTGCAATAACAGTTATCTTGATTAAACATGTAACAGGAAATTGGTGGTTCAGACTTTGTGATCAGTTTTATGAGGGGACAATTATGGAACTCACTTCTTTATGTCTCTTGCTATGAAATAAAACAAAATGTTGGTGTTTTAAAGAGACTTTAAACTACTTTGGCCTTTTTTTATTATGGATTTTATATTTTGTTCATGTTCATGAAAATCATTCAACATGAGCACAAACCAGAATTCAGGAAGACTTTGTTTTAGAAATCTTCTGACTCTGAGTCCTTGGATTATGATTCATTTGTATGCAGACAGTAAACCTTTCATTGGGTTATCGAATGACTGAAATCCAGTAGTAAGTCACAAGTATAGGCCCACTGAATCAGTGAGGATTTGGTAAATCACCTCTTCTGTAATTTCACTCTAATCACAATTTACTACAGGATTTCAATCTGTAACAGAAGTACTGTATGCAGAATTTGTTTCATAGTTTAGGTATGGGGGAAGAGTTTTAACATTCCAAGGTGTGATAGTAAGCAGCAAGCTCAGTGTTTTATGAAACAAATATTATTCTGAAGAACAGTATGATATTGATGAAACACAGCTTAGTGGTAGACTACATGTAGGATATAGTTAGTGTCCGAGGCTCAGTTCTTGACTTCTCCTTGTAAAGGGGTCCTATAAATCACTGGTTCTTAACCTTGGGTTACTCAGGAGTTTTGGACTGCAACTGCCAGAAGCCTTCACCACCAACTGTGCTGGCTGGGGTTTCTGGGAGTTGCAGTTCAAAAACATCCGAGTAACAAAGGTTAAGAACCACTGCTATAACTGATAATGCGAAACACTTCTGCATGACTGGTGATGCTAGTCACAGAAGGCTTTATTGGTCAGGTGGTCAAAATACTCTGGACAGGAAGTCTAAAAAAATCTTTTCACATAAGGTTAAAAGTACACGTATTAAGAGACCATGTCATTTATCTACTGTACTGTATATGCAAGCAATATTTGGCATGCAACTTTTAAATGCACATCATGATCTATGTGGTAAATACTGCTTTTTGTACATATCCCTAATAAGAATATTCTGAACTCTGTTAGCTTTATGATCACAGTCCTTTATTAATGATAGATTTTTTCCTACTTTTCTCTAACCTTTAGTCAGTATATAAAAAGTATAAACAAGGTAGATTCAACAAGAGCACTATTCAGACACTAATAAACACATAGTGAAGATAGAGATCAATATTCCAGCTATAACCCTTCCACCTCATTCCCTGTATGTTGATGGGGAAGGTCTGAAATAAATTGTGGGTTTCTCAGCTACATATGATTAGGCCTCTGCATGACAGAATTCTGCACCACAAGACTTCTCCATCATACAGAAGAAGTATTAGGAAAGAGTAAGGTTCAAAAATACCATGTGGAGTAGGATCACATAAATTCCTGCTATAATATCAATAAATAAGAACCACTCATAGAGCAGCCCTCCCCATTTAAGTGGATCTTATATTTCTTTTTCAGCTCAGTATTTGACTTGTACTGAGCCTTGGATAAGTCATACCTCTTTCATTTAAGATTTCTAAAAATATATCACATGTTGGGATGGGGGGCTGGAAAGCATTGAAAATAATAAGAGCTCTGCTGGGAAGGAAAAATTAATATTTAGTTATCATGCTGCTTTCTTACCTTCATCACTGAGGGATTGCAAGGGTGGAGATGAAAGATGCCACATCTCATTATCAGCTCCCTTAGCCATCGTGCCACTCACCTAAAATATAACACATTGCATGACCAATGGATTGTATGTTCTCTATCTTTCAACAACAAGAACTATTATTATTATTAT